GGAGACTCGCTTGAGCCCAGGAGTTGGAGGTTGCTGTGAGCTGTAATGCCATGGCACTCTACCCAGGGGGACAGCTTGAGGTTCTGTCTCAAAAAAAAAAAAATGATTAAACAGAGTTTTTTTAAAATTGTGGTAAAATATACAATCATATAATTTGCCATTTTACTAATTTTATTACTATTGTTTTATGTAGTACCATTTTAACCATTAAAAAAGTGTTTTTTCAAAACATAGGATCTCACTTTGTTTCCCAGGCTGGAGTGCAGTGATGTGGTCAGAGCTCACTGCAGCCTCAAACTCCTGAGCTCTAAGGATTCTCCTACCTCAGCCTCCCAAATAGCTGGGATTTTAGGCTGGTACAACTAACTGCACTTGGCCGTTTTAACCATTTTAAAGTGTGTGATTCAGTGGCATTAAGTATATTCACCACCATCCATCTCTAGAACTACTTTATCATTCCAAACTAAACATCCTTACCTATTAAAAAATAACTCCCCATTCCTCCCTCCCCACCCCCAGCCCACTATTACACCTTCTGTCTCTATGAATTTGACTATTCCAGGTCCCTACATAAGTGGAATCATAATAATATTTATTCTTTTATGTCTGGCTTATTTCACCTAGCGTAATGTTTTCAAGGTTAATACATATACTTGAAGCATGTATCAGATTTCCATGCTTTTTTAAGGCTGAATGACACTTTGTTGTATGCATATACCACATTTTATTTATCTGTTCATCCATTGACAGACACTTGAATTACTTTCACCTTTTGACTATTGCAAATATGCTACCATGAACATGGATGTACAAATACCTGTTCAAGTCCCTGCTTTCAGTTTTTTCTGGCAAATACCTAGAAGGAGAATTATTGGATCACATAGTAATTCCATGTTTAATTTTTTGAGATAATTTCAACAGGGCTTAAATCTTTAATTTTTTAAATCTTTCAGTCTCATACCACAGACTATATCCTCTGGAACCTTTTCTGGGGGTCCAAGGGTCTGAGCACAGCTGGAGCCAGGCACTAAACTCAATGCCCAGGTAGGTCGGCAATGCCAGCCTTACCTGGAAGGAACAGATGTTGAGCATGACCTGGGTCAGCTAGATGGAGCCTTAGGCCCAGAAATACTTCCTACTGTCAGGATTCAATTAGTTTGTTTCACAAGGAGATGATGACTAGTATTTCTGTAAGCCTGAAATTATACTGTTAGAAATCCAGGCTCGGCTCCTGTGGCTCAAGCGGCTAAGGCGCCAGCCACATACACCTATGGTGGCTGGTTCAAATCCAGCCTGGGCCGCTAAACAACAATGACGGCTGCAACCAAAAAATATCCGGGTGTTGTGGCGGGCGCCTGTGGTCCCAGCTATTTGGGAGGCTGAGGCAGGAGACTTTCTTGAGCCCAGGAGTTGGAGGTTGCTGTGAGCTGTGATGCCACGCTACTCTACCCAGGGGGAAAGCTTGAGGCTCTGTCTCAAAAAAAAAAATCCAGAACTTAAAGTCCCCTTTTAAAAATAGTGTTAATGATTAATGATCTAGCCAGGATCTGGGGTTCAGGAGAATGGAATTGAACTGTATGTATAGATGGATGAGATTAAGTAGGAGTGAGGGGGTGAAAGGGGATGGAAAAGGCCCAAAGGCAGCTTCTACTTTCCCATTTGCTCGTTCAGCCTGGTAATCCGAAGCCTGTTCCCTGCTTCCTTGGTTGCTTTGCCTCATTCTCAGCAGGATTTATGAAACCCTGTGAGGAAAAAATATTGAGCTGCACACATTACACGTTTATTTTTCAAAGAATGACCAAGAAATCCATTAAACCGCTAATCAATAAATATGATATGACTTCCCAAAGCTCAGTTGACAAAGAAGGAAATTTAATAAATAGTCGAAGATACCCCCAATTGAACCCACAGTTTCTGTGAGTAGACTCATGGATTCCAAGGAAGAGAGATTTTCTGATTGTTTGGAAAACTGAGACTCCTTTCTGGCAAAGAATAAAGGATTTCATTTTTTAAAACCTTTGGGTTATTACCGTGGCTAAATTAGGGTAACCAGATTTTAACATTGGTAACACGGGACAACATGGCGGGGGGGGGGGGGCCGGGCGGGGCAGGGCCTGACAACAATGCAAACTTTGATAAGCAGTTCTCGATAATCACTTCTCAACAATTATTTGTTATTAGTACAGTTTAGCATTATAAAATTAACAAAAATAATATAAAACTCATATTCTGGCAAAATAGCCACATGGCAGCCGAAACCGGATATTCCCTTCCTGTTCTCCCGCCGGTACATTCTTTCCAAAAATCGGGACTTTTTAAAAATGCCGTAGGATGCGGGACAAATTGTTCAAAAGCAGGACGTCTGGTCACCCTAGGCTAAATGGATGACTATTATTTTACGGTCACCTAACATCCTAGTTTTAT